GTATTTATCCATGTGTCTGCCCGCTTATCTGTTTTACAGCAGGTTCCTGTTCTGCAGCACATAAAACACTCAGAATTACAGCATCACAATCACATCATTATACACCATAGACACAAAGACAAACAAGCATACCAAATTTCAAAAAGGCAGCATTTGCAAAATAGGACGTCTAAATATGAGCACAACAAAAAGTGATAATAAAAAAATTCACAATATATTCTTTTAGTTTTATAATGTCACCTCCACTGGCCGTAAAAATTCCCGAAAAGGCCTCAAAAAGGCCCACAGACCATCAGTTGATAATGACAGTTGTAGCTTGTTTTGCGGCTCTGGACACATTTTATTAGTGAGCCAAACAGCAGAAATGGCTCTTTTGATCGTAAAGGTTGCACACTCCTGGTATAGATGAACTTAGTTTTACTGTCAGACACATATATTTTATTAGAGTCTACACTTTACTTTTATACAAGTTTATTCTATATAAAGGATTTGTCTGGTATGTGCGTCTAAGTTTGGCTTTTAACCCAAGAAAACATTTTTGCATCCTGTTATTGCTCTTCATATCACGAGTTGTTTTTCATTAGCTGGAAATGGAGACCAGACAACAACGTTTCCAACATCTGGGTTGGAAGTCTAACGTTGGCATTCTGCTCCTGCAGCACAACTCAACCCCATGTCCCACACGCAGCACTGCGTGACCAGCATGGGGGCTCCTTCCTGGAGCTGCTCCGGCCTGGAGGTGGACGAGGTGGACGGCAGCGGGGAGGAGACGCCGGACGGGGGCGAGGGAGGGCTGGACGGACAGCAGGGCGTCCGCGGAGAGGGCGGGCTGAGTTTCCTGCTCAAACAGGAAGACACGGAGACGCAGGATGCCTACGTWTACTTGTACAGCCGCCTGGACTTTGTGCTGAGGGAAATGAAGCAGTACGTGGCACAGATCGATGTGTAAGTATTGCAGCTCTCGCTCGTACCGAGCCTTAAAGTGGTGTTGAACTGGCTTTACTTTTAAATGGCTTTTCTACCTCCCTGATATGAGTTATTTAAAAAAAAAAACAGGGTTTTTATCTAAATTTCTTCAGAAAATACTCTCAATTCTAACCTCAAGTGCCCTTATCAAGTATTGTCATTCCACTGTGAGAGCTATGGCTATAGCCTTTATAGTGATATTTAGAGACCGCAGTAAAGAGAAACCAGGAGCCGTTATCTCACGCCACCTCCTCCCAAGGCTTTTTTGTCAGCTTCTCTTTGTCTGTCTGCCCTTTGCCTGCTTTAAAGCTGAGGATTTACGAAAGGAACATTCTTCAGACCCAAAATATTTATGGGCCGGGCCCAGTACAGGAACAGGGAGTGAAGCCAGGATAACATCAAGAAAAAGAGCTGTGTATTGTGTGTCCTTGTTGAGGAAGGGGTGTGACAGCATGAATGAATAGATGTGTATGTTTCATCTTGGGGGTGTTTATTCTAATATAAACATGACAGTAGTAGGATTTTTTATTTTTTAATTTTTTGGGGGGGGGGAGGGAATGCACATTAGAGTTAAATTTTGTTTAATAAAGAATCTATATTTTCTGTAGCCTCCTGTCGTCTATCACTGAACCAACACAACTGGAAGCAGAGAGTGGCGAGCCCCCGGCTGATGAGCCCACTCAGCCACCGTCTTTGGCCCCCTGCGAGGACGGCTGCGATCAGGATAAAGCGGAGCAAGGTGGCATTAAAAAAGTTTGTTTTAAGGTGATCGAAGAGGACCAGGAGGACTCTGGTCACGACACAATGAGCTACAGGGACTCCTACAGGTAAAAAACAAAACAAAACATTGATTTAAAAAAATGTGTCACTGTGAAACAAATTAAAATTGAACCAAATGTTTCTTTTCACACCTGCATTTCTAACTGTGACATTGTTTAAACTCTTATTTTTTACACACACACACACACACACACACACACACACACACACACTGGAAGAGTATAATTGGTTCCAGATGTTGGGTTGTTTTAACTGAGAGCTAAAAATGGCTCGAGAGTGTTTGGGTCAGATCTGGTTATGTCACTGGCTTGTCGCGAGTTAATTCAGGTCTTTTCTGTTCGCCGGGCCGAGCTCCACCGGGCCCCACCTTCCACCACCCACTAAGACGCAGTTATTGGTTGTCGGTGCGGTGGCCTCGTGTGTAATAGAGCCAAGCGTTCAGGGRGCGGCCTCCCAACCCGCTCTGTCATTAAAGCCAGGCCATGCCARGTAAAATGCAACGACCTCATCATGATAAAATGTAAAGGAAAAATGCAAGCCACTGGGTGTGTGTAGTACTCTCTCTCTCACACACACACACACACACAGACTCACACGAAGCTGTTTACTAATCGTTTTAAAGAGCAGTGCTGTTTCAAGGTAGCAGCAAACAAGGTTTCTCAGTGAAACGCTTTATGTGGCTTAGAATGTGCTGCTGTGATTTATGGAGGTGGGTGGTGGATTTTATGTTGTTTCCCCCTGCTGAGAGAATCAGAGTAAAGTCAGAGGTGGTGACACAACACAGCAGAGGTCAACAAAGACCCCCTCTGGCTGTGTCCAGTCAAAGAAATGCAGCGTTTGGGCAAGAGAGACTGTGATMTCTCCACGCTCCGACTTGGTGGTGATTTGATGCACTTCTACTGAAAACCTCTAAACGTGGCTCAAAGACCCKTAAATGCAGACTTTATTTAGGAAAGCAAGAGAGTTATGTGGAAAAGGTAGCTTGATCCAAACCGTAGCACAGTGRGTGTCTTAAATCTTTGTCTTTGATGTCTACCTGGGTTTGTGGGGGCCTTTTTTGGCCTTTTGTCTCGACTTATCTAAATTGTATCCAGATCCAGCAGAGCCGGATTACAGTTCAGCCTGTCTGTCAGATTCTATCCCAAGTAATTAATTCTCCCTAAATTCTTAAAATCCTGAAMAGTCTCAGTCATCATTACTGTCTATTTGAAAAAGATGCCACCTGGAGTTGTTCTAATGCATGAATTGTCTGATAATAATTATTCTTCACCAGCACAACAATGTTTATGCCCATGTTTGTGTGTCTTTTTTTTTGTTGTTGTTGGAAAATATATCACAAATCACAGAAATAAACCTTAATTCCCACAGACGCAGGTGCTGGTTGTAAAATTAGAATATCATGAAAAAGTTGATTTATTTCAGTAATTCCATTCAAAAAGTGGAACTTGTATATTATTTTCATTCATTACACACAGCCCGATATATTTTGATGATTTTCACTGACAGCTAATAAAAATCCAAAARTCAGTATCTCAGAAAATTAGAATATTAAGTCCAATACAAAAAAAAAGGATTTTGAAAACTGAAAAGTATGAACTTGAAAAGTYTGAGCATGTACAGCACTCAGTATTTAGTTGGAGCTCCTTTTGCCTGGATTCCTGCAGCAATGCGGCGTGGCATGGAGTSGATCAGTCTGTGGCACTGCTCAGATGTTCTGAGAGCCCAGGTTGCTCTGATAGTGGCCTTCAGCTCTTCTGAATTAGGTCTGGTGTAMCTCATCTTCCTCTTCACAATACATCATAGATTTTCTATGGGGTTGAGGTCAGGCGAGTTTGCTGGCCAGGGGTACCATGGTCCTTAAACCAGGTAGCTTTGGCACTGTGTGCAGGAGACAAGTCCTGTTGGAAAATGAAATCAGCATCTCCAAAAAGTTGGTCAGCAGCAGGAAGCATGAAGTGCTCTAAAACTTCCTGGTATGTGGCTGCGTTGACCCTGGACCTCAGAAAACAATGGACCAACACCAACAGATGACGTGGACTAGGGGTGCACCAAAAATTGTTTTACATCAGAATCATGATTCGCATTTACAAAGATTCAGAATCGATTGTACTGAATGAGTCTGAGTTTGACATGAGCGAGGTTTGCAAAATGAAGATGAAGCGCTCAGAACAATGCAAATGGGCTCACATCATCAGTTTTGAATGAAAAACTGATTTTGAATCGAATCAAATCATAAGGGAGTAAAAGATTCCCACCCCAAACCATCTGTGGAAACTTTACACTGGACCTCAAGCAACGTGGATTCTGTTCTAGAGATGGGATAAATGGCTCTTTGAAGGGATCCGGATCTTGGGAATCCGTTTGTTTCATAGAGCCGTTCGATTTTGAACATATTACATCATCACGTAGCTGTATGTAATGACGTCATCCCGTCACGTTAGTGGAACCATGTGTTTGTCAAGCGGAAACCCCCCTTCCCCTTTCACCGTGAGCTTCTGTARTCTACAACTCCGCCTGTTTTCCATGAAAAAAGCAAAGCGGGAGCGATTTAAGTATGAAAAAATAAAGATTATATGAGGAATAAAAGAAATAAAACTACGAATGGCTCATTACTGCCCGCGATCCGGCTCCTATCGTTTGTTGTAAAGAGCCGTTCAAAAGATTCGGCTCATTCGRGAACGTCACATCTCTAGGGCAAACAGTTAGGAGTGTGTGTCTCTGACTTCAAGCCAAATACAGATGCARGTATCCATGTGGGGAATTAACCAAGTTACACAAACTCTCCCCCCAGAGTTTTATTGCCTCCAGTGGTCCCACCATCCTACCAGCACAAATACACACTGGTGCACGGTTAAATACACGTTTGAAACCACAGAATTGCAGGGCAGGTGATATCTGGCCTGGGTGCTCCACCTTTTTTTATTCAGTTAAGCCTGATATTACTAAAGGTAGCTGCTGATGTTGTTTCAGAGCTCGTAGTTAACCTTTTGTCATCATAACTTAGGCTGTGAATCCTTCAGCACTTCTCTGAGGGGATTTCAAACATCCCCATATAAATCTATGTATAATTTGAGTCACATAAATCCCACACATGCTCACAGTAATCACGTCAACTGCCGTAAATGCACGATTATATATGCCAGACAGTTATTTGACAAAAATGTCACAGAAAGGCAGGAGTTGTTTGTGCGTACCGATAAGTAATCTTGCTGCACGATGAAGGTTATTTGTGTAAAACAAGAAGTTTTTAAAGATTACATCTGATGTCAACATATATTATTAGTCATGAGTTCAGAAATGTAATACAAACATTTACTGGATGCTCCTTGGTGTAAACCAAATAGCAGTGGTTGTTGTGAGATTCGTTTCATTACTTCTGGTCTCGCATATACTAAATCAAAAAGACCGTATACAATCGGAAAGATTATTCAGCCACATAATTACAAGATGCTGCTTTCCAAATCGTCCAAGTGGTTAAAGAACTGAATGAACTCTGCATGTTAAATCCGTGCGTTTTGTGTCTGTGTGTGCAGTGAATGCAACAGCAACAGAGACTCGGTTCTGTCCTACACCAGCGTGCGGAGTAACAGCTCCTACCTGGGGAGTGACGAGATGGGATCAGGTAACAGATGGCTTAAGATGCCCTTTGATGTTTACCCAGAGGACTTCTTGTCTCAGTGTCTGTCCTTTTATAGACAGCTGGAAAAAAAAGTAATTTGGTCACGTTTTGGATTTCAAGCTAAATGGGTAATTTTAGATAGAACTCTAGACAGATTTATTTTTTTAAGMGTTGATTGTGGTCAGATGCTTCAGGAACTCTTTGTGAACCCACAGCCACATTTTTGTTATCTGAGCCAAGTATGTGTCTGTTATGCATTATCCTCTTGTTTTTATTTGCACCAAACAGTCCAGTCTGATTCTGTTAGGATGTCTAATTAGCATTTTCTCTTTTTAATTTGATGCTTTGATTGGAGTTGTAATGAACGAGCAGTCTTTTCTTTCCTCTCTTCATCCCCACCCCCTCCGTTAGGGGATGAGCTGCCGTGTGATATGAGGATACCTTCTGACAAACAAGACAAGCTGCATGGCTGCCTCGAGCACCTTTTCAACCAGGTGGGTTATGGTTCTTTTTATATTAAGTACCACTTGTAAAAAAAAACATGTATTAATTTTAAACGATCTTTCGTGAGTTTTCCTGGGCTGAACGAAGGAGATGAGYTCTTGGTTGACATGTTTCAGTTTGTGTCTCATCCTACTTTAAACTGCCTCGCTCACTGGACAAATTCAACGTGAACTATTTAGATATGATAAAACCTAATCCTGGTTGAAGGGTTTGGTTTAAGATCTGCTGATTCCATGCATTTACTGTATTGCTAAGAACGTAGCTTTTCCCCTGCTTTACAACAACTAAAACATCATTTGAGGAAGCCTAAATCAATTTAATTCCCTTTTTGAGCAGTTTATCATTAGAGGCTCCCACTGAATCTTCACCGGCGCTGCTTAAGTAGCCATTAGCACATTGGATAACCATTGTCAACACACATTGTCGCAATTTGCTTGAAGTACTTTTTTTTCTACCAAGACTTCTTAGTTTTTGATTACTGTTCAACTTATGGTAATAATTAGCTTCTATAACTTGTAAATAGTTGATTTTTTTTTTTTTTTTTTGGAGTATGTGGGATATCGGATACCAAACAAAAATAAATACGATGAGGAAAATAGAAAGTGGGATAGAAATGCAAGAAGGAAATGATGCAGAAAAGATTTGTCAAAAATATAATAACTTGCGCTCGACGTATATAAGAAAATAATAAGAAAAAAATAGAAACTAATATATTTTTGAAATATTTTTGGCAGCTTCAGTCCTCCATAGATACATTTGAAGTGTTAGCCTGATGCTAATGTCATCTAAAACATAAAAATAGAAGACGGAGGAATAAGAAACACGCATGTCAGCATTAACATCGCAAAAATAATCAGTCAGCATCTGGGATGCATTGCTCATGCAGCTAGCTATCCTCTGTTGAGGGTCCTTTTTAATCCCCCTCCCTCTTATTTTCCTCCAAATGCAAACACACACAGGCTTTTCACAGATACATTGACATAGTTAAAAACATCCATCCATCTTTTGATCTCCTCTTGGCTGTATGGAGCGCACCCAGTTTGACTGCTGTGGTTCTTTACATGTAAACTGCAGCTGAAGGGCCAACAAATACAAGTGTTCYTGTTTAAAGAGGTTTGCCTGAAGCTGAGTTACGTGTCTGTATGTATGGTTTAGAAATAAAGGCTGTAGTTGTAGGAGGCATGTTTATTTTGAATATGTTCTTTTTTTCATACAGGTGGAATCCATTAACGGCCTCCTCAAAGGACCTGTTATGACCAAGGCCTGCGAGGAGACCAGGCACTTCTACGCTGACCACAGCCAACCAGGTACACTTTTGGTTCCGTGTGTGTTTGCTGCTCGCAGCGCGTCCCGTGGTGTTCAGGAAAACACGCTGTGGTTTTGTGCAGAGTTTCGTCAAACGGACGACTGGACCGCCCGCTGTCGTTACGTTATCTACAAGAACATCCAGGAGGACCCTTGGAACCTGCCCAACTCAATCAAGACGCTGGTGGAAAGTCTGCAAAGATTTGTGGAGGGTGAGRGGAATGCATCTGGCTCACGTGATCGTTAACCGTTCAATAGCAAAGTTGTTCATTCTGGCTGTCGTTCAACAGATGGAAAGAACCAGCTTCTTCTGGCTCTGCTGAAGTGCACAGGTCAGTGCCAAAAGAGATAACGGCTCAAAATCAGGTTTAACTTTCCACGAAGGGTAGAGAAGGTGTCACAGACCGACTCTTGTTCATGTTCTTCGCATATCTTCCCTCGCAGCCTGTTATTTGCATATTGCTGCTAACGCTTCCACCAGGACTCCTTTCATCCTTTTCTTTCTGGCCTCATCCCTCTCCTCTTCCTCCCCACGACAACAGACACCTCCCTGCAGCTGCGACGGGARGTGATCTTCTGCCAGGCGGCGACGGGCGCCCTGTGCACGCTGGCCGAGCAGCTGCTGACAGCCCTGCGGTCGAGGTTCAACAATGCTGGCGAGTATCAGGAAGACAGCAAGGAGACCAGCCGCAAGTGGCTGGAGCAAATCTCTGTCATCGGCGTTTTGCTGCACTTTCAGTCCACGCTCGCCCCACARCTGGTGAGAACAAAAGGATTTAGCTTCACGTAAATTGATAAAACTTGTTTAAAAAAAATTGTTCCTTTTTTCTGTTATATTTACTTCCTGAATKAAAAGCTTTGGGTCAGAGTGGCTTTTTTCTATGCAGCTGTCTCCAGCACTTTGATAACTCATCCCAGTGTGAATTCAGTGCTTTTCGTTTCTTCTCTCCTCTTCTGGCAGAAAGAGGAGCGCACCATGCTGGAGGACACCAAGGCGGCCCTGTTAGACTTGGACAAAGTCACTGTGTTTTTCAAGCAGCTGGAGGATGAGTGTCTAGTTGCAAGTAAGAGACTCCGTCGACAAAGACCGACTTTGCCTTTTTCAAATCACGTTGCTTCTAATGAGCAGCTGGATGGTTTGACCGGCTTTAAATAAACTTATGATAAATGGAAGGTATTTATAAGTAAAGGCCTGGAATTCATTGAAGGAATGCGCACTGCTCAACACCATTTATGCCAGKGGTTTAGATTGAGCTGATATTTTATTGGGAAATGACAGAGTTTTGGTTTAAACCTTGAGATTAACTTTGTGTGCAATCTGTCTGTCTGTTAAATTAACTTGTTAGAGCCAGTTTTGTGTTAGCTAATGTTAACATTATCGCCCACATGAAKACGTGAAACCCTTGTACATGTGCAAGAGTTGAAGTTGAAGCTCCCTTAAATATAAAGAAATGCCAGTAATTTTTTTTTTTGAATTCTGACAATGTAAAAAGGATTAAATGTTTTGTCTTCCTTTTGGACTCAATTCAAGGTCAAAATACTTATATTTAAATAAGGCTTTGAACTCTTGATGCATCCAGGTTGTTTGTGGGTTCTAAKACTGGTGAAATTTTAACAACCTGCAGTGTTCACGTTCATTGAAAGTGCCCAGGTTACCGTAAATCTTAAAGCCAACGGACACAAAAGATGGTTTCATCTCACGTCAGTGCTCTTTTCAACATCCTCAYTATGGTCAGCAAAGATTGCTGCTCAAAGGAAAAGCTCCTCAGGCACTTCCTTTTTTTTTTGATCACCAGGCAAAGATGTGGATTAGGCAGAATTTAGCTMTTCTAGATTTATGCTTAGCTGCAGAAAGCAGGTTGTGTAACAAATGTAGAGAGCAGTGCTCTGATGTGTTGCTGTAATGTGTTTATGTTCAGTCGTGTTTCATGTGAACAAGCTGACGTTGCGTATTGGCTCAGACTGCTGCAGTGCAGGTGGGTGGTCTGTGGCGTCAGAGTAAACCGGACAGCATTGATTTGCTAATAGCATCAYCGGTGAGCTGGGAGACACGGGGACAACATGTTACCCTCACACAGCGCGAGGTCAGGGGCGTTCAGCCTGAAGCACTGCAACCTATTTCCGAGGATCGTGGCTTGATGAGTTTTCTACAACAGAGCTCTGACCCCAAAGGCCACGAAGGAAAAGTCATCGCTTCCATTTTCTCAGAACCGGTCGGCAGTCCGCGGGATTAAAATGTTAAAAGAATCAACACAGGTCGCCTTCAGAGTTTCTAGCTTATAAATTTAGCTTTAGGACATTTTTTCATACCGCTTTTTTTTAGGGGCTAAATAAATAAATGAGATTAAATATAGATATTTATAAGGTAACTCCAAGCTGAAAATATCAAGGTATCAAGACCATAAAATCACAAATTAACTTTTGTCTATCATTCATAAATAATTTTCTCAAAATTTAATATTTGTTCCTGCATTAATGCTAAATATCTCTTCATATACGTTTTTATGAATCTGTGGATTTATTTTTAAATTTTAGATTTAAATTGTTTATTCATTTCATTTAAAAACAAAAGATATACACAACAAAAAAATATATATACAAATGAAATTAAATGAAAGGAGGCAGAAAGAAGAAAAAAACTCTATACTTCTATAATTAATTTAAAGTAATAATATTAGGAAAAGAAAAAGAAAAAACTTAGATATACATTATACAATTTCATATTTCTTTAACAAACTTATTTTTATCTTTCTCTTAAAGAAACACATTGAACTAGCATTTTTATAATCACTTTCCAGAGTATTCCACAATCTTATTCCCTGAACCGAAGTACATCGGTCCTTCGAGTTTGTTCGAATTCTGGGTTTCACAAACATAAGTCCTTTAAGAAGATTATAAGAACTTTCTCTCTTAACAAAATATAACTGGATGTTTAAAGGCAACAATTTATTTAAACCMACCCACAACACTGCAGCAGGTGTTTAAGGTGTTGTTTTTTTGTTAAATACCATATATTTTACCATAAATGCATTGTAGAGCAAAGACAAAAGGGGTCCAGGCAACTCAAACATGCTTTAAGCGCAGCTGCCTGCAGAAGTCAGCCAGATTGTCTGCTTTTYACTCTGCTGCTTCCTTTGTGTTTCAGACACACCTGTGTGTTACCAGGTGGAGGGCAGCCGACATGCCCTAAAGGTCACCATGTACCTGGACAGCTGTCACTTCAGTGAGCTGCCCAGCCGGCTGCAGAACGGAGGCAGCCTGAAGATCCAGACGGTCCTCTTCAGCAGAGGTAAGACTGAGAGGATCGAAACTGTTCAAACGAACGATGGTCCTTCCATTCCCTGTAAAATAGCTCTATTTTTTAGACTTCCCTGGATTTCTAACATTGTCTCTTACAAAAAAAAAAAAAACGCTATAGATCTAAAGTGCATCTAAAACACTAAATCAATCACATTAGACGCACAGGTTTGAATCCTTTAAAAACACTGTTTCTTCAGCCTCACACCAGTATGACTGCTCATAGCTCTACTGTAGGTGCTTTTATTAGGTTAGACTGAAGCCTTTTATTGGACTCTCCCACCTTTGCACTCTCCTTCGTTCCTTTTAGTTCTCCATCAGAATCGTTCTGAGAGCATTATGCTTCTTGCCAGTCTGCCAAATAGCCATTAATTTCCCCATACATAAGTGCTAACTGGAACTCTAATGCAATGAAACATCTCCTAATGTTCTCACATCTGAGTGCAACGCAGCCTCGAGTTTTAGAGTTGCTCTGCTCTGCGGAGCAACGTCGCCACCTGCTGGAGAACCAGCCTGGCTGCAGGCTGGAGAACCCGACTTGTTCTGTTGCAGAATGAAGGCGTTCTTCTATTTTATGCTTATGAAAGTGTAAAACATCAGGTTTGAAGTGAACGTTTGTGTTTTTATAAATGTGCTCCCTCCACACTTAATGTTTCAGCTCTGGAGCGTCCAGAAGGAGTGTCCCAACAGGACTATGCTGACATGGAGGAGTTCCAGCAGCGCATCAATGCTGTTTCACTAGAGAGGGTGAAGGCCTACTACCGCCGGCTCAGGTGCGCTCCCCAGAAATTATTCCACTTTAAAGTAAACATTTGCTTTTAAATCCTTCTTTTTCGCATTCAGATCCTTCAGTTGGGGTCTGTATAAAAAGGAACTGCAATGCTTTGGTCTGAATTCCTCCTTATTGTAACTCCACAATCCCCACTTTTACCATATTTCTGCAGCGTGTCTCAGATCAACTCATTTTGAGGCTGCCTCTTTAAATACAAACAAGGTGCTCCACACTCCGCCCCCCCTCCAGCATTCAGAGCGGTCCTTTCTAAGTGTGATAGAGGGGGGTTATGGTTATCTAGTGGCACAGAAACATTTTATTTCTTTATTTATGTGACGAGGAAACTGTAGTTGATAACTCCAGACTTTATTTGGCAGTTCTGTAGCAAATAATTTGATGTAATTGTTCAGAAAACATCATAGAAAACAGAGAAATCTGAATGGGGTGACCCAAGCAGAATATAAAGAAGTCTATGCAGCACCAGGAAAGACTAAATTCAACTTTTCTGCACTTCTAGAGACCCAAAGTACACAACAAAATGTATTTAACAGCTAAAAAAGTGGATTCTGTATGATATGTCTCCTTTAAAGAAACACTTCACTCTGTTGTGCCATATTAAAACATAAAATTAAAAAACTCAGCGTTATATTTTTAATTTAGGTTGAAGGCCTCAGATTTTTGAACTTCAAAACTTTTTATCATTCACTGTCGTCTATAAACACCAGCTCTACTGAGAAAATGTTTTGATTTTTTTGAGTCTCAGCATTTAGTTTGTTTTAATTTGATAATTGTGTTAGGAAAATAAAGCTTGTTTAATAATGACATTATAAATTAAGTGAAAGGTAAGATGATTATTATTTACTGATGCTTTAAACCTTAGAAATGAGAGTGCGTCTACTTCTTTTGACTCTTTTTAAATATTCACATTTAAATCACCTTTATTTCCTGTATTATAGATATGGTTTTAATTTCTGAAGTGCGTAAATTCCCAGAACATGACTCATGAAAGCAGCATCAATAACAGATGAACTGCACATGTACAGTATGTTTTAAGAGATGTATTGTAGAGCCTGTCTGACGTGACACATAAAGAGTTGTATAACAACTTTGCAAAGGAAATAAAACCAAAACCATTAAACCCGTTTATTTTTGTCACCACAGGGCTTTCTTTTTGGAGAAGTCAAATCTCCCCACTGACTCAAACTCCACAGCCATGAAGATAGACCAGGTAAATATAAACAGGTGTATTTTTAATTAGAATTGTCTTTTTTTTTCACACGGTTTACATCTTGCTCAAGTTATTTTTATTTAATGTTGTGACTGAATATAAATGCTAAGCACAGATACTGGGCCTTGAAGTTAGAGACCTTCAACCAAGCATTTCAAAAGTAAGATGAACTGGTTTGCCACTCTGTCCTGTGGAAACCCCCCCCCCCCCCCGACTAGCTTCCTAAGACCTCCCAATTAACTCTGACTAACATCGACACGTCAACATTTTAAGCTGATTTAATGTCAACCTGACCTAGTCTCTCAAACTGACCGTAGTTGGTATAAAATCTGTAGAAAATAGCGTCCGTGTGAAGTAAAAACTAAAAAATAAACACCTTTTATGTTAGATTTGGCTGGGATTTCAACTTAAAAGTTAAATATTCCATTTTACACAACATTTTAATTAACATTTATGTTTATTATAAGGTTTTAGACAAATTCCTTTAGCCTGAATTAATACAGCTGTCATTTTGCTAATTATTTCATACCGTATTTGTCTTGCTGAATTGGTAAAAAGTGTTTAGAAACTAATTATAACATTTAGTAATTGTTTAAAAGGTGCCATTGAATTATCTTATTAAAAGTCCAGTTAATTTCTAACCTTGTCCGTCCTCCACCCCCTCTCCCCTCACAGCTGCTGCGGCCCCTGAACACCCTGGATGACCTCTGTCGCCTCATGCAGTCCTACGTGAACGTGCGTCCGAACGCCCAGGGCCACCCGTCGGGCGTCGGCGTGCTGTGCGTGTCCTCTGAACTGTGCAACCGCCTGGGAGCCTGCCACATCTCCATGTGTGGCACGGGCATGCAGAGGTCAGCCCGGACCTCTCCGTCTCAATCTGTTTACGTTTTAAAGCGCCCCCGCTTGAAGAGAGGGAAGTTAGACCCGCGCTAAAGTCTGGYCCCCTTTTTTGTTTTTCTGCAGATGCACTCTTAGCGTGACGCTGGAGCAGGCGACGACCCTGGCCCGGAACCARGGGCTGCTGCCGCGCTGCATCATGCAGACCATGGACATCATGAGGAAACAGGTAGAAAACAAAACGTTAATCCAGAGTGATCATCTGTTTTCATTTAGTCTTTGAGTTAGAAAATATGGGTCAACCCACTAAAGCAGGGGTGTCAAACTCATTTTCACCGAGGGCCAGATGAGCATTACGGTGGCCCTCAYAGGGCCAGTTATAAATAATTTTGATGTTTCGGGTTTTACTTTGACTAAACAGTGTTTGAACACGTCCTCTTATAAACACTGAAAAATACTAAGTACAACTGACTATATGTGAAACAAATGATATAGAAATACTATTAAAAGTAAAGTTGGAGAGTTTTACTCACTGGTGAGTAGCTGCCATCTTGAAATCTGAACTCTTCCACTCTCTGATAGGGAATTCCCATGCATAAACAGCATGCATTATGGAAGGTGTGGTGCTTTAAAGCAGCTTATTTTATATTATTAATACTGTGCAACTAAATTGCTCACTTAAAGCCAACAGCTCAGGGGCAGGACAAGTATTATCTTTCARGTTTTTAAGTTGTTTATTTTGTTGCATTGAATCATAAACTTAAAGTTTACCATTTATATAAAAACTATTTTCATGTTAAGTAATATCTACACACACACACACACACACACACACACA